CGGCCGTTTTCTCTGGCCCTCCCGGCTCTAGCCGCACTTTTTATGCCTGCAACAGCGTGGTTCGCAGACCTTTTCTGGTGGACACTGGAGCACAGTTGACCGCCGTACCACCAAGTTCAGCTGACCGTTATTCACCCAGTCCTGGCCTTCACCTTCTGGCTGCCAACTGTTTCCCCATGCCCTCTTTCGGTAGCTGGTCACTCACCACTGACATTGGTCTTTGGTGATCGTCCTCCTGGATATTTGTTATTGCTGATGTCCCTCATGACATCCTAAGTTCTTACTTCCTAGTTGAATTTGACCTACTCGTTGATTTTCGCAGTTCCTATCTTCTTGACCGTCTAACTGGTCTTACGCTCTTACCTAACTCCTACAACTTATCTGTTCCGGTAAAAGATATTGCTTGTCTGGTCCGGGAGCGACTTCGTAAATATCCCAACATCACCAATCCCCAGTTTCGCAGTATTGATGTTCAACATGATGTTTTGCACCCCATCGGCACCCCATCGGCACCTCAGGTTTCCCTCTGTTTGCTCGGCCTAGACGACTTGCTGCCGCCCATTTGCAGGCTGCGAAGGCGGAGTTTAAACACATGCTGCAGCTGGGACTCATCCGACCGCCCGAGAGCCCTGGGCTTCCCCTCTTAACGTGATGCCCAAGGCGACATCCGGCAAATGGAGACCCGGTGGCGACTATCGTGCTCTCAAAAATACAGCGATTCCTGATCGGTATCCCGTACCTCATCTTCAAGATTTTACTGGAGCTCTTTCCGGCAAAACTGTTTTTCGAAGATTGATTTGGTACGTGCCTTCACCAGATCCCTTTCGTCCCCGATGACACTCCTAAAACTGCTGTTACCAAACCACTTGTTTTTTTTTTCGAATTCATCTGCATGTCATTTGGCCTTCGCAACGCTGCACAGACGTTTCAAAAGTTCATCGACCGTGTCTTACGTAGCTTACCATTTGTCTATACCTACACCGATGACCTCATGGTGGCTAGCCGGAGTCCTGAAGGACATTTGGATCATCACCCAGATTTTTGATCGTTTCGAGAGGTTTGATGTTATTATACACCCCTCCAAGCGTTTGTTTGGTGTGCCTTTTCTTGGATTTTTTGGCTCCCTACCCTGCAAGGTTGAAGCCATTCGCGATTTCCCTCCAACAACTTCTAAGCGTCAGCTGGAACGTTTCATTGTTATGGTCATTTTCTATCGCCGGTTCCTACCGAAACGTGCTGACCTTATGCTTCCAGTCATCAACATGGCTTCTGGTCCTAAGGGCCCCTTGGACGTACGAGTGAATCACTGACTGC